TCACACACACACCCACAGAGACACAGACCATTGTGTTTAGTGTATACGGAGATTTAATTTATTTAGAAGTTGCTCGGACAACAATTGGGCTTAAAAGCGTAAAAGTAGGTATTTATTATTTTGATCTAAAATTGATAAGATTTACGTTTGTATTTATTATGATTTTTTTATGAAATTTGTTGTACAACTTATATAAACTCTAAACAAGCAAACATATAACAATGCTCTCCAATTTTCATATAAGTGTATTTCTCGACGCCTTTTCAAGTCTTGTTTAGTAAAATATCATATTTATATTATTTTATTGTTCCAGATTTCAATAAAATAACGATTAATTTAATGAAATAAAGATTAACTTAAATAATGAGTTTTATTAATATTTGTGGCAGTTTAGTTTTTGATATCATGTTTATTACTAAAAATATAGAAATCTTTAAATCAAGCATACTATTGACACTGCCCGTTTAAATCATATATAATGTGACTAAGAAATATTTATACTTGACTAATACTCGTACTAATGAACAATAAAGACAAAAAACTAGGAAAAAATGACAAAAGAAAGATATAGAATAACACACGCCTAAGTTGAAGGCGCCACTCGATCGACCCTTAACGAGCGAACGCGTTAGAGGCCGTTTTCGTGTCGCGATTTTGTTTTTATTACTGAATTATACTACAGCACGGCTATTACTGAAATAATGACGTACATTATACTAGTACGAGTAATCTGTTAGTTGATGTTGATGTTAGAGATCTAATGTACGATACTTACTACACTCGACATCAAACAAAACAAAAATCTCCCATATATTTACATTACTTTTTTAATTAGTGCTTGATATTGAAAATATTTTTTTTCTCATTTTAATTTTTAATTATAACTATTAATGATTTTTTTCCTTTTTTTATAAATCATTATACTTATGTTCATAATATTTATAGGAACACATTTTTTAAAAGGAATTCGTCCAAATAATGTAACGCTCGATGCGCCGTCTCATTAATAACGTATTTAATGTCCGTGAATCTTCCGCTTGCAGTCCTTCAACAAACAGTACACAAACAATACATCTGTGTTAACAAAGTACTGCAGTTTTACCAAAAATACGATTTATATCTTACAAGAGATTGATAACATTCTTCCATCAACATTTAATAAACACAAAAGACTTTTAGTCTCGCAACCAACGTTGGCCAAGAATGTTCGCTGATGGTCTAGTTGTTGCAAATCATCTGACGGTATGCGGAGAGCAGTTGAACTCTCAAAGCGGTTTCTGCTTTTGTGGAACGAAGTAGCAACAAGTCACCGAACTCGAGATATGTTTCATATGTAACCTGTTTATAATGCGGGTACAGCTGTCAGTAGCCTTGAGGACGATTAAACAAAGGTTTTGTATTCGCTTTGAATGTTTAAAATGACAACAGAATAAATAACGGTTTAAGTTTGACCTGTTATGAAAAAGGAAATATCTCCGCAAGCTGAGAATTGAGACACAATGATATTTTTTGAGAACTCATATTATTAGTCAAGATATGGTACCATCATCAGTTTAAGTTTAAAAGTAAGTCTGTAACGAACCAAACAAACATTCAGCATGTAGCATTTCAAATAAATTTCCTCACTTCGACATAGTGGACTGCTCCTTCAAGCTCTATGGAATCCCGTTGATTTTCCCACAACCACAACTTTACTTTGTCAACCGTCTCCGTCCTAAAACCCACTGTATAAAGTATATTTTGCTTCCAACACTATGTAATATAAATTGTGCATAACTTAACTCATTACACTCTGAACTATACCCCACGAGCGCCCCTCGTTACATTCCAATTCACAATAGAAAATCGATGATTGTTCAACTTTTCGACTTTTAAGGGTTCATGGGCTCTTTGCCAGGAATTGATGAGGTGGAAGTCTTAATAGAGGATCGCATTCCTACATTTTATAAAAGATTTTTTTCAGAAAAACATTTGTAAGTATTACTTTATTTGGGATCAAAATATAACTTAGTTTAGTATAATTAAGTATGTTTAAGTAGCATGAGTTGCAGAATAATAATTATTGAAACTGAATCAAATAAATAAAGGCTCAATTCTTTTTTTAATGTTGCGATTGCATCAATAATAATTAATACAAAACTTAGCTCAGTTATTAAATAAATCTTTTTTTGTAATCAGTTCATTTCATTATTATAAATGGTAGTCTGGTCTCTTAATGTTCAGTTTTATATACAATTTAATGTAACATAATAAGAACGTCCATTCGTTTTCGTTAATTACTTTTTTCCTCGTTCCTCTAAAAAGCTGTAATTTAATAATACTTGTTGCTAATGACTGGATGCTGTCTCGAGGCGCGGACGGCGGCTCAACCATTTAAGCTGTAACTGAGAACACTTTTAATTTGTTAATACAGAAAAGAGCCCTTTCATGGCTTTAGGAGTGCTATACAGACAACATTATTTAAGATTTTTGTCATTGTTGACAAGAATTCAGGTTCATTAGACACAGGATATGGCTTTGTAAAAGTTATCTCTTAATTGGCAACAAGACAGTTCACAAAACACTTGTGTTCAATTCCAAGTCACATTTCTCTAATTAGCGCCGTTCAGCGTGGCAGCGTGTCTCCCGATTGTTCTGGGATGTTCTCGCGCGGAAGAACAAAGCGAGTCGGCTTTACGTCTTCTTACCTCTTTGTGATGTGATTGCGATTCTACAAAATATATCAGAGAGAAATAAAAGTTACCCTAACAACTTCAATATGATGTATTTGTATTATATACGTTACGGATTTGATATTGAAGAAACAAAATCTATGTAAAGTACTAATATGTGTAGGAATACTTGTATTATACTTTTCTATAAAGAATATCAATTGTTTTTCTCTTCAAAAATACTGTTTAAGAAGAAAATAATTGTTTCGTAGTTAATAAAAAAAGCAAGTATAATGCCATTTTCAAATTTTTATTTGTAAAACTTTATTTGTAAAATATATATTTATTTCAATTTTAGCTTTGTACATATTTTTTACTTGAAATTACTTTACCAATCCAATTTCTGTTCCTAAACACTTATAAGTTTCTGTATATTTTTCTGTATGTTGATAAATTCCTGTGAAATATAATCCAATATAGTATACAGATATATACATATGTGGTGTGTGTATTACATATAAATGAAGTAGCAGAGCACAATAAGTATTGTGTTTTAATTTAAAAGCAAAATACTCACTTAATTCAAGAAAAACATAGAGAAATAAAACATTCATACCCAAGTAGATAGTCATGAAAAATATACGAACGATAACGACTTCAAAACAGTGATATCAAAATATTAGATCTCCTCTCGCCGTTCAAACATAGTACATATGTAAAAAGAATGATTATATTATAATATATAGGCAGGAATGCAGTTATGCCGTTAGACTTCACATACATACAAGAACTAGAGAAGTCATTTGATTTAAATAAAGGAACAGATATAAAGTGTTCCATTCACAGTGAACAGATTGTTATTTATTTAAGTTTGTTTCTATTTTAGATAAGCTTCGAGAGATCTGTCACATGTTATTTGTAATATTTTTTGTTGACTATTCATTAATTGTATGTAGATCGGTTGCCAATACTTTGTATTTTTCTCTGGTTATTAGTACTATAGTAAATATCTTATCTACCAGTTTAGAAACTTTATAAGAACATTAGTTTTTATAATAACGTCTCATCGGCTTTCTGTAGTTTACTTTCTGTCATCCTAACGAATCTTTTAAAATGCAAGTGATTATACTTTAAGAAACAACAGGTGAACACATCAAATATCAAGATACAAGTATCAAAAACATAATTTGTATAAAACATAAATCATGAGAGTGTAACAGACTAGAATCAATTAAAACGAGTCAGACGAGATGTGATGGAATTATTAGAGAACACTGGAAACTGAAAACAAAAGTGCGCCGCGTGCAGTCAGCGGAGAAACTGAATATGAATCAGGCGAGGGCTTACGAGAACACTCATTAAACATATATATATATATATAAATTACATTATGATTATGATTATTATTAGTTATATTCTTACCGGTCCGGCTCCTCGTGAACACTCGTTCATATTTAACATCTCAGTACTTAGTTTGTTACTCGTTTTTCAATTACCGATGATCCTAAATCTTTACTCTCAATCGCATCGTGCATTTTTATGAACAGTTTCTACATCTCCTTAATTCAATAGTCCCGGATTTGATATCTTAACATGTTTGTATTAAGAAACAGAATAGCTTGCTGGCGACCGCAGTAATATCTTATTTATATAGCCGTTGTTAAAGAGCTCGGCCCTCTCACTATGAATATTTCAATAGAATAATAGTTTGATATGGATTTTGAAAAATTTCATTCCGTTATCGCAAAACACAGGCTACACCGCTCGCAGGGGATATGAATTTAAAAAGTGGGGTGCATTATAAAATACCTAACGATTTATTATTTATAGGACACGATAAGAACAAACGTTTACTTATGCTTAGTTAAAAAATGAGGTAACATTTGAAAGACTTATGAAATGTAAAACAGCATCGGCTATGTTGTTACTTTAAACGAAATGATGTCAAAGAAAAAATCCTCATGATAATAATTATATGTAATATTATATCGATATATATTATTATATTATGTTTTATACATAAGTACACTGATCATTGTATTTTCATTACTGTATGTCTGTAACGACGTCAACTCATTATTTGCTCTCTGATCACTAGTCTCTACCATTTACAAATCTGTATTATTCCAATATATATTGTAGATTAGATACAAAAACTAAATAATATTGCATTATGATTCAAAATTTATAACTGGTTCGATTGTGGAACATGAAACAAACGGTACTACGGAAATTCACTTGGTAAATAACTTGATCGTAACTTATTTATCAGAGCCAAGGAAAATAATATTTGAAAAATATAACTTCAAGAGGTTAAAAATATTGAGTCTTGGTACATATATTCTGCAGAACGTTATATGAATATCAGAAGAGGAAACTGCAAGTGGATAACACGAGCAAAATAAGCTTAAAACCATGTGGTTCGACACTTTCCTTCGCTAACAACGCTGAAGATGAGCAGGTAACAGTTGTGACAGCAATTAGAGATGTCTCCAGATTGAAGACGGAACAGTCGCCCTAACGAGCAAAGTTGGAAGAACTCCTCACACGGGAACATTGACAACTTATTATATTAGAGGATAGAGCAGCTCTCATCGGAGATATGATAAATGTTAAAATTATAATAACATCTTAAGATACATAGGAAAATATTTAACTCCTTAAATACACACAAACCTTAACAAAGCCTACTCGGATATACTTCAGTGGGCACTTCCTTTAAGACAGTTTTAATGGTCATTCCGAGAATATATGAATTATTTTATAGCCTCTAGTATATTCCCGAAAAATAAAATAAAAGTAATTTAATTAACAAATACAGCAAAACAGAAAGGTTGAATATAAAATTTCTCTTCTTTTCTGCGCCATATGTGTAAACTTCTAAAAAATAAATTAAAAAGTTTGGATGTATTATGTGTTTGTTACTTGCCTTTTTAATAGGATATTTGTATGGATAGATGAAGGATAAACTTAAATAGTCTACTTTCTGTTAAATAAAACTTTAAAATACACACACTAAATTTCAAGCAGTCAACAGAAACCACGCCATAACAATTTGTTTTAAATAAAGAACCAAAAAAATTGAAAGATGGTCTATTTGTATGGAGTGGGTTTAGTTTTTAAAGGTATTGTTTTAAGTCGAGTGATAGATTTTGCAAATTTAATTCATACATATAGTAAACAAACTAAGACGATTTTCAAATCAAATTAGTTTTACATCTTTACAGCGATAATATACATGGTGGAACGAATTTTTTTTATTATTAATTTCCAGTAAGCAGTGGACGCGCACGGCTCAGGGAGGTGTAGGCAGCGTATATTTTCAACGCAGCTTCTGTTTTTCTTTCATTATAAAAAATGACAATATATCTGTTTATCCAGTCGTACTGTGTTTATTTTGGGTTAATGTTTTGAGTTATTCTTATCGATCAATTAAATTACAAAGTTATATGAAAAATAAATTTATACTATATTATTTTTAAATTTAAAAATACATTAGTAATTTTCGATTGCATAGTAATATTAAACCAATTTTAATATCCATAATATGCTGATAAATATTTGTTGGAACTGTAAGAGAGGAATTAAAATATATTGTAATTCTTTCAAAACAAGACTTATACATATAAACGAAGTAAAATAAAAGTTTGAGTGGTTCGAGAAGACGTGTCCTGAACTTCTAATAAAGACTGTTTGACTAAAGGTGAAACCGAGCGGTCAGCTTCTGATACTGACGTTCGAATAAATACATTGGAATGAAATTAATTCCAACATTGATTTTTCATGTTTCAATTACAGGAAACTATCACCAAGAAGTCGAAACAATTTAAGTCCAAAGTGCAGTTTAAAGAGAAGTCTTGCTTTGAAGGTATTGTTGCGATTCAAAACATTAGTACGGGAATTGTTGTTGTGGTTGGTGGCAGGCGGTGGCAGGCGGTGGCAGGTGGTCGGCGGCTGGTGGTCGGTGACGCGGAACAGACAGCGAGATGCAATAAAACTTTCGCCGCAATGCTGATGTTCCCGTTCAATAAATTATCAAATCTTTCATGGATGCTATTATAATATTCCGAACATACCTTCCTTGTTTCACACTCAGCCGTGACAATATAATTGCACATTCACGTTTAATTCAACGATTCGTGTGAATGAAACATAAAGATAATAAAACAATGTCAGAGACATAAAGAATACAATTTTTAATCATCCATTATTTATTTATTAACAATGAGCGGAGAGTACAACACGCTGTAGTAAATTAAACGTTAAGTTTTCAGCACAATAATGACATCGGCAAATTGAAAAACAAAATGACTGACTTTTCGTTCACTGTTTGTGTGTTCAGTGTGGGTTGAAAAACTTTATGTTTTAAATGATTTCATAATATGATTTTTATTGTTACCTTCTCTACTAGACTCGGCACCTAATAATGATGATTCATTAATATTCATTAATTATGACAATCGGTCCGTTTTTAGCATATTAAATTAAAAAACACTTACATAAGTAATTGAACAATAGACTTTAACACGATATTGATGATATATTTTTTCCCACGGTATTGGTATTATCACTGAAAACCTTACTGCATCTCCTCATAATAATGTAAAAACGACTGCCAAAACCAATAAAATTAAAGTGCCGCAGACGCACCGCATATTACAGGCTCGTAAAAGTATGTTCCGTGTAACGAGGGCTTCGTTCAATCCAAAGCTGGAGGCGATAATCTCACGAAATGAATGTATGAGAATAAACATTGACATTGTTACTGCTCGGAGGGCCGTTAATACCTCGCGATTAAAACGTTTTATACCAGATTAGCTCTTTGTATAAGAGTATGAGATATTCATTCATACCGCACTAGAAATGTACTCGTGCTACGAACAACCGATGCACTTTTCAAACTTAATCTTTACAAAGCAATAAAGTATATCCCGTTTATAATTATTATACAAAATGCATATAAAGTTATCATCTTTTTATATATGTATATTATAAGTATTTGTCTCAAAGTGTTTCATACATATTATTATAAGCCGCTTTCAAAGCCGGTTTAATTAAAATCGATTTACATATTTCACGTTCCAATAAACACGCTAGTAAAAATATTAACGAGCGCTGTGTCGGTTCCATTTCATTTAAAAGTTAACCGCGGCTCTAACGTTTACTGTTGTCATAACCGAGTACACGGACAGCCCGTTACGGATGCAGCCACTGACTGGTTATAAATTCTCCATATTTCATTTGATCAACGACTGGTATTTTTATAAGCTCCTCCAAAACTGCAGATTCCAATCATTTGTTATGAATACATACGATCTGTATGGAGCTGTTAGTCACGATTGTAATAACGTTCAATATCTATATACATAGTCCTAAAATACTGGTATTACACAAGCAATTTACTTTACATATAATTCTAAAGGTTTAATTAAACAGACATTGTAACTACATATAAACATAGTTAGAGAGATGTGATCGGTTTTTTCATTATTCTCTTTCTTTCTTTTTCTATGTATCAATTTGACTGTCGCGTCGCACTTTATATATTAATGGCACAAAAAGGATTAAATAATTTAACTGTTCATCAACAGCAAAAGATGAAATCGTATTCAAATTATTAAATATTTATAGCTTAACCAAATAATGAATAAAATAATATAAAAAATATTAATAGAAAATATTTCGGTGTCGCTGATAAAATAAATAAATAACGATAAACGAAGAATGATAAGTCAAATTAAACTGTCACAGAAATTGAAACGACGTTATATACAAAAAATACAAAGTTACAAAGCTCTGTGCGTTCTTGGACGGCAATAATAATATGTAGCATTGTGTTGTCAACATGTGACACGAGACCTTAATAAAGACTGTTTAATAAAATAAATATTAATGGATGTGTGAATGATGGCAATGAATTGTTATTATATAATAAAATATAAATCTAAGGCACTAACTTCAAAAGGTGATTAAGTACTAAGAAATTACATATCTGAGACGAAACCTCTTAGCAATCATTGGATTCACCGTGCGGTTGCGCACTAGCTACGAACAATCCTCAAATATCCGGTTTTTACAAATATTATAATGCCCTCTAAAAGTCTTATAAAAAGTTAGAATTGGGTTTTTGAAAAAAAAAAAAGTATTGATTTTTTTTATGTATTATAAAACTTTATTATTAATTATATTGGATTTTTAATGCAAAAAACTTGAAATATTTTTTTTAAATTAATTATAAACAATTAAAAATTGATAAAATTCAAAAATATATCACGTGATTGTAAACGCGCCATGATTGGTCAGCATACTTGTGACGTCATAATGTTAAAGCAATTTCATAATAGTACAGTGTTTATGGCTATTATCTTTAACTTGATAAAAATATCTCAAATTTATTAGTGAAAAACGATTTGAAAAGTTTATTTCGACTATGTGTGATAAAGGATTTATAAAAGCAAAATCGGATAATATTCCTGATGTTGATATATTTATGATAACTAATTTTTTAAAAAATGACGTTCGGTTTAATTCTGCTGAAGTTCGAGGTGATAAGGCATCAAGGTAAGTCTGTTAAAAAAATAATATTCTAAATGAAAATAAGTATTTATTCTCTATTAAATATAATTAATAATTATTTCATTAAATCATTATTAATAAAATGTTATTATAACATTATAAAAAAACCAAAATAACATATATGTACTTTAAAAATTTAAATGTAGTCTGATACAGAACCTAGAATGTTATAAAATTATGAAAATATCTATTAATTGAAGTCCAATTATTAGACAAACATACATATAGATTTACTATTTAATCGCTTTGAATTATCAATTAAAATTTTTTAATGCTACGATTCTAAAGGTTATGATTTGGAGCCCAGGTAAAAAAATTAATTATTGAACTATACTTATTCGATTTATACACTTAGATAAATAATAATTAATAACAATACTATTATGAATACTTACAACGAAATGATCTTCACAACAAAAAAAAATGATTTTGTTTTTGAATAATCTCGATGCACTGCTTGAAACCATTTCTTTCGACGTTTTTCGTCTTGTGGAACATTTAAAAACATTTTTTCAGGAGTTGTTTTTGTAGTCTTTGTACATAATGGTACAAAACTTTTGATTATTTAACAATGCCAACAGAATTTACTAGATAAAAACTCAAAACACTGTACTAATTATTATATCTCTGTATGCTACAATGAGCAAAAACTAACATTGTGACGTCACACGCGCTCGGGTTTATTCCCGAGCTGTCGGCTTGTTTTCGGTACTGAATTTAAAATTTAATTTTTATTTTGAAATAACTTTTTAAATATTGCAAAAAAAAATAAAATAAAAATAGTTTTGTTATAAAACTTATATATGATCTTTCCATTTATCACAAAAAAAAAAATTATTCAAAAACCCAATTATAACCACGTTTTTTATTCCTTTTGGTCTCTGGAGAAAAAAGTCTGTCACTGAAAATATTAATTTTGCTCATCAACGACGTTACGCAAAACAACAGTAGTCGTTGGTATACAGAAAAGAGTACAGGTGATGCTTTCCATGCTAGTTGAGGAATTATTTTTTATAAGAATTGTATAAAATAAACAATATATTTGTATTTGAATTCAAGTTTAAGACTAACGTTAAAAGAAGGTTTGCGTCATTTTGCAAACTTTAAATGTTGAATTTTAATGAAATTATTATTCTTAGTGACATCGTTATTCTTCTATTATCTTACTTTTCACCATCAAGTTAGATACTATCCTATGGACACTATTATTTGTAAAACAAAACGGTCCTTCTTTCCACGTAAGTGCAGTATGTGGAATAATGTCTATCTTGAAAATATTCATGACAGCTACAAAAAATGATCTCTTAATAGTTTAGCATACAGATTTTTGATTCAAAAACAAAGCCGGCAATACGTCTCCATTTATATTTATGTAACAGACATCAGTTGATTACATTAACAATTAATATTCCAAATATTAACTATTTTTCAAACCTATTAGATTATGCCAATATTTTAATAATACAAAAAGGTGATTAATGCTCCTATATTTTATAAACGACATAATAATTATGTAATATAATAATAGTAACAATTAAAAGAATTCATAAACGGTAACAACAAGTACTACCAGCTGGTGATCAAACTTTAAATCGTTCGTTATTAAAAACAGGTCGTCTATCGCACAGGTTCGCTGATTGTGAAACAACCGCGGCTTCCTCGACAAAGGAATTTCAGCCGAATATTCTATTTCTTTAAGTTATGAACCAATACTTACAACTTTTTGTTATACGTATGATTTTTCACTATTTCCATTTTCTAAAGTTCGAAATAAATATCTGCCAGTTTACTAAGTTCATGGTATATTTATCTTCTGATTCAGTGAAACAGGCTGCACTTCAACTCACAGAACACTATATGTGAAAATGTTAACCACGTCGAACATTTGTACAACGTCAATCAACATTTTAAATTGTTTAATAGAATTAACTTAAAGGTCAAAATTTAGTGTTATATCTTTTAAAACATTCAACATTCCCTGTGAGTATGTTTGTTGTTGAAAGACTCTCGTAAATATGTATACAGGGTGACTGGTGAATTACTATCGATACTTGAGGACGTGATATTTGACGATCATATATGACAAAATAAAAATTAATATAACATAAATATTAATAAACTTCTAAGTAAAGTTAACCAAAAGTTATGTAATTAATTACGCATCGTGTGAACACCCTACAGATTAGGTATACACACACACACACACACGCGCGCGTGCGGCGGCGTGGTGTTGTATCAGCACGCCACCGCAAGCGTCCACACTTGGAACACTTGGAACGTATCCACACTTTATTTATTTATACGAAAATTTGTTCAAAAATTAAGTACCTATTTTTTTTTACATAATTCGAATGAGAATCATGTACCGAGTATTCTCCTTAAATATTGATAGTAATTCACCAGTCACCCTGTATATATGTATGTAATTATATAATTTTCTCGTTTTACATGATGTGTCCATGACAATGAAACCACAAATCGTTTGT